GCACATGGCCGAATCATCGGAGCAGTGCGCGACCTTCAACTGCTCCTCCTGGAACCTCGTGATATTCTCTCTCAGCGTCTCTCCTTCCTTCTTCCTGATAGTGGCGAGATGAGTCGCTGTCTTTCTGCCATAATGCCGAGAAGAGAACTGACTGATGAACTCCTTTCTCAGCTCAGAGTAGGTCGAGATCGACCTAGTCGGCAGTCTTCGATACCACAGGCGCGCGCTACCGGTGAGCGCGATCTGAAAGGCGCGGCACTTGATTGCATCTGTTGCCGCTTGAAAGTCCATGAGGCCTTCGAAGACCTCAACATAATCCTTTGGAACCTTAGACCCATCATAAGGCTTCATCGTGGGAGTCTTAAACTTTGGAGGAATTGGAGCCTCCATAATATCCGAGGTGAATGGTGATTCTCCCAAGTCGCCATCGTCGAACGAGCTCTCCTTCTTCTCACACCTGGCTTTGAGTGCCTCGACCTGCTCATCGAACCTGTGTTTTATCAGGTCGAACTCTTCCCTGGTGATCACAACTTCTGGTGTTAGAGGCTTATACTTTGACTGAGCCTTAAGGTCAGAGTTGGAGAACTCTCGGGAGTAGGACCGAGAGTCTTCCGGCTCCCGAGAGGCTTTCTTCTTCTTTTCAGTGAGGTGCTTTCTAAGATCGTTATCTCGCAAGCTGTAATCCACCCCTTCATTGTTGGGAATGGGCTCGCGATCGCCAGGTTGGACAGATGGAGCTCCCTTTTCACCGGGTGCGCCCGGGGCCCTAGAGGGAGACGCAGTTCGGTTAGCACGCGTTGCCTCGGCGTACATTTCTTCCATTGTGCACAATCGATGGCGCATATCATCCAACTCGCGCTGGAGAGTAGACAAAGCTTCAGGGTCTGCTGCCTGGTTGGCCCTTTGGGAGGTCTTTCTCGAGGTCCCTCCTCGGCCTCTGTTGGCTTTTGAGGGTTTCGGGTGAGCAGGTGGTAGCTCTTGGTTCGCATGGCGGGCAGATCTGCGCGGCAGATCTCCCTCTTGTCCTGCTCGGACCTGGTCCTCGACTATTCTTGAATCGAGGTCTCGCTGAGGGCTGTTATCAGCGTTAACACCCCTCCGTTCTGTTGTATTGGCAGAGTTTGCTGGATGCACCATTCTTGCGTATATTTTCTAGATCGGGATGACTTAAGATGTCCCTCCCCACAGACGGCGCCAAATGTTTATGTAGGAATTTGCACAACGGTTCTGAACGAATCGAGCTCGAACCCGGTCTCCGGTTTCGACCTGAACACTAGAGTGGACCTGCACAAGAGGGTAAGCACTCCGACGCTCAAGTCAGTATAGATCGGACTCCGTATTTTGTTCGAGGTGAGATTCAATACCTGAGCGTGAAATGAATCCCTCTATTTATATGTGATGGATCCGACAGTACACACGATCGGCGGTTATGTGTCTTTTCTCATATCGGACCTGTCGGGTTCCGAGCAGGTCGGACCCCAGTCAGGTCGAACCTTGGTACCCATACTTAGTCTTTTATAGTGGGCGAACCCGGTCTCCTCGGCGGGGCGAGGTGGACCTAAGCAATCCTTTTTCTTATTTAGTTTTTTCAAAACACTAATAAGGGTCCTCCACGTGTCTTTGGTATGTCTACCCCCAAACAGTATCAATATACATATAATCCCTTAAGTAATTTGAACAGTTCAAATTCTTCCAAAACATTGATCCTCGTTTTATCCGTTATGAGCTAGCAAGGGGACCTAATGGACGTACATTAGGTCACATGTGTCAATTTCCCATGATATCAACAAAAGGTTAGAAAACATAGGTTTTAAAAAGAATGATATAAATCAAATTTGCCTTCTATTCAACCCCGAAACCCACAATATCGTATTTGGGTGGAAATTTTAGTTCAAAATGAAGTTTAAGTTGTAATTTTTTTCTTTCTCCAAAAAAATTAAAAAAGCGTTAACGTTGGGGGGGTTAATTTTAGGAAAGTTTTAATGATTAAAAAATATTGGGGTTTAACCCCACAATAAATTGTTTAAGGTTAAGGTTTACAACTTTTTGGTACATATGTGCATGTCATAAATAATTAAATAGGGAAAAAGTTAGTATAAAGTGGAGAGAAAATGGACCAACTAGTTATTGCTTGAAGCATATACTGAGAAGATCCCCTTCCCCCACAACCTAAAAACCAACCCGCCCATCTCTCCCAAATTCCACAAAGCCTAATCTAATCTATAATCTCCCTCTCTGGTTCTTGTCACACCATCCATGGCTATGGCTTCCCCCTTGATGTTGCAGGCCAAATTTCTGGTGGCTTATCGAACGTCCTCCGGCAGGACCGATGACTACAAAGTGAAGAAACGAGAACGTGGATCGTGATCGCTATGCGGTGGTGGTGCGAGAACGAGCATCATTTTGGGCAACGAATACTCTTTGGCATAAATATTTTAGGATGAATTAGAAGAGAATAATGGAATTGGGGAAAGCTACTTTTGTAGGGTAAGAGGGGCCTGGTATTTTGTTTTCCTTACTATATGAATTGGACAAGAAATCCAACACTTGTTTTGGGCATTTTGTTGTTTAACCTATCAACAGTTTATATGCTATATTATAGTGCAGTTCTCCTTCTCTCTCTCAATAATAATGTTTTCCCTGAGAGAATTTTGGACGGCAGGACTATCTTTTTCCTCAATAGTTGCCTTTTTGGTCACTCAGATGGCAGAAACTTCGTTTGGAATTGTTAACTTTGAATTAAGGTTCACCTATTTTATCTCCTGTTTGTAGTTTTTCCTATTTCTTATTTTTCGTTTCTTTTTTCTCAATTAAGAAATATAGAATTGTGTTTGAATAAATGTTTCTTGTTTCTTTCTTTTTTAAATTAAGAACAAACTAAAAATTTGTAACGTAATCAATTTTTTTTTCTTTAAAATTTTAAATTAAAAAAGTTAAACGTGTTATATGAAAATTAATTTTTCAAATTAAATATTCAAATTTTTTTATGTTATATTTAATTTTTTATATTTATTATGCATTTTAGCGTCAAAATGAACCAAAAAAATACTTTTACCTATATTTTGGGGTAAAAGAAGACAAAACAATAAATAATAGACTAGATTTTGTGGTTTCTTGGATGAGAAACAAGAAACCCACACAATTACCAGATCATTGTTTCTAAAAAATTAAAACCGAAAATAGAAATGTTATCACCCACACAATTACCAAATCATTGTTTCTAAAAAATTAAAACGGAAATAGAAATGTTATCAAACAGCTTGGTTTTTGATTGAATACTTGAGAGATTATTTTGTGTAATAGTTGTGCAAGTGTGGAATATTGATACTTCTAAAGAAACTTTCCTCCTCCTAAACATATCAACATTTAAAATAACCATATAGCTAAATTCCTTAAGATACTTATTTCCGGATGAAATGGATGAAATGTTGTGAGTTCAAATTCTTATCTCCACGTATTCTACTTAAAAATAAAATAAAAAAGATTCAAAAAAACTGTCCCTGATTTTATTAATTTTATACTTTCATGGTTTAAAATTTTCAGTTTTACATATTAAAAATACTAAACCAATTCCTTCTGTCAAAAAAATTTTATACGCATATATCTACGAAAATCTTTTTAACAAAAAGTTGATGGTTTAATGTTAGAGTGATAAAATTCGAGTAATCACGTTGACACGTCATTTTTTTTAAATTATTGACGAAATTACATATTATTAATATGAGACCAATTAATAAAATAATGCCGAAGTTACATTTTATCAAGTATGAGACCAATTAATATTCAACAAGTGTTTCAACTAAAACTAAAATACCAATAAAGTGTCCAAATTATACCACATATCAGAGATTAGCCTGGTCAAACTTCCCGCCCAGGATCAAATGAGATAATCTAAATTCTTTTAAAAAAAATTTAAAATATAAAAAAAGATAATCTATATTCACCCTAAGAAATAGATAATGTATCCATTTACTAACACTTCTCAGAATATTTTTTTAGAGTTTTAATTATTTTTTTAGTTCAAACTGATGTTTTAGTCAAAGTTAAAATTATTCTTTAATTTTTAAAATTTAACTTAGAAATCAAAACATTTTTAGAAAATATATGACAAGAAAAAAAAAAGTTAGTAATATTGTCCAAAAGCTAAATTTTCGCAGCATAAAACCAGAAATTGTTTCATTAATTTTTAAAAAACATTGAATCAATTAGAAACATGTGAAGTCAATCAAGCATATAGATCATGTGTATTACTACCATCCCAGAACTACTACTACCATCCCAAAATCAGTAGTTCAATCCCCGCTCCACAATTCTTTTTAATTTAAAAGAAAAGTTAGAAACATTTGATACATAATCACCTAAAAACAACTAAAAGCACTTCAAAAATGCTCTGCTTTGAGAGAGCACTTACATTTTAACTATTCACTATCCGTCCCGATATATATTCTATAGATTTAGTCCTCTCCATATATATAAATAAATGTATATAACTAATTTAGACTACAAAAATAACATAAATAACAGATCAATTGCAGTCATACTTAAACCGTTTAATCTACCAATATATTTGGGAATCATCCATCATTGCCCAATCTCCATTTTAATTTCTCATCCTCGCAATTCACAATTCCATGGTAATTGGGACGAGAGCCAACTTACAAATAACATTTGGTATAATTTCTCGTCCTCATAATTTCGTGTTAATTGAGACCAGAGAGCGAACACATAAAAATTACTAATTCTTAAGATACGTAGCCAACCATGGGATTGGAACCCATTCACTATCAATTAATCATAATTCCTTTAGACCAATGGTTTAAGATCCAATTTTTATCATTATGAATTCAAAAGTTCCCTGGAACTCCTCACTGGATACTCCACCAATTGAAGACATTATATTAACTATTTTAAATCATGTGGAGCATTCACAACGGAAACAATGAACTGCAGCTGAAACATTTAAACCGATCTGCAGGGTATTCGACACCATAGAAAGAAACTTAGAGGAATTAAAAAGCACTTGTTCTCTTCCAATATAATTAAAAACCGAAATGTCCTCACCGAAACAATAAAATTTTCTTGGAATTAACTTAAGAGATGAGAAACTGGCAACACAAAATCTAATAATTATAAAATGCGATCTTTCTTTACCGAGAAAATGTCTGTTCTATTTGAAAGCTGTGTCAAAATTCCATAATGGATCCTTTAAACCATGTTCAATAGAAGAAACCAAGTACTTTTCCTCCGACATTCTTCCTTCTAGCCTCTTCATGATCCATAATTCCAGCGGATGTTGTCAGCACAATAAATCCAAACTGCGGGTATGAATTTGATCAAACAAATCATTTTCCATGTATTTTTAGACCATGTTACTCAACAGGTCTGTATATAATCAATACCCACACAAAAGGCAAATAACAGATAACACTTAGTTTAACAATTTGGGGGTGGGATAAAACCGGCGACATTTGTGATGTTAGTAAAGTAATAAGTGCCTTATAGCTATCATCGGATTAGCCCAATAAAAGATAATTAAAAGCAATATAGTGCAAACCAAATCTCTAAACATTTGCAAAACTTAGAAGCTGGTTTAATGCACTGCATTGTGAACTTTGTAGCCATCGGAAATATACTCATATGATGATCTATTGGCATCCATTCAGATACATAAGTACTATAACCTGGTTTACCATAAAAATATAATCTAAGAGACAAGATGAGCTTACTATCACTTATATCTCTTTCCAAGTTTCTTAAATTCCATTTCAGGTAGATTTTCAATCTCAAACTTCAGTATCACATTGTACAAAATTAACAAGTTTTCAACACTAACCTGTCTGGACGGGAGCAGCCTAGCAGTCCAGCCTTCAATCTCCTTGACACCCACGTCAAAACGAGGACTAATAACCCCACACTTGTTCAGCCTGCCGTTCAGCTCGACAACAATTTTCCCAGATCTATGATCGTCAACGTACTCAAATTCCCCAATATATCCTATAAAAAAAAACCCAAATGACAAAATTAGAAGATCTCGGCAAAACTTGTTGCCATGAAGTCAAATCAGAGAGGTGGAGAAAGCAAGCAAACCGTGCTTCTGCATAACCAGAAGAAACTTGATGATCACTTTGGAGGAAGGCCTGATCATGACCTGTCGTTTGCCCCTCTTCTCTGCATTGTACATGCTCTTAAGAGCATCGTTCAAGACACTAACTCTGACCATCCTTACAAATTAAGGCTTCATGGGGTGGAGGGAGCAAAGAGATAGAGAAAAGCAGAAGAAGTCAACAATTACGAAATAGAAACTTAACAATATACCACGGAAAGAAAAATACTTCAGTTTCAAGCCCTGATCGTCGAATCTAAGACATGTCAAGAAGAACAAGTGCACCAAAAGTAAACACTCCAACCCATTGAAAATCCGTTGTTCACAAATATGTTCAAATCCGAGTAAGAACTCACATAAACTACTAACATCTAAACCTATTTTAAATCTGTATTTTCACCAATCAAATGGAGTCCCCATCGATGAACTAGTGATTCAAAAAAAATTATAAAAAGACACAGAATCAGATCCATCTAGGACAGCAGAGATGGATCTGAAACGAGATGGAGAGATGTACCTGAATCGAGGATGGCGGCACCGTCGGCTTCAACGAAGAGGGTAGGAAAGGGTACTAGGTTTTTCGGGTGAAGATGTTTATAAATCATGGAGGCAGGAACCCTCACCCTCACGTGGGCCTGAACAACAAATGAGTAGGGATTGGGCCCTTTTCTTGGGCTCGGCTTTCATACAATAAAGATGTGTCCAAAATGTATTTGGAATGACATTTAAGAAAAACGAAAATGGTCTCTAATAGGTCTGACCTATTAGATATAATGCTTCACAAATATTAATTTTTTTTAAGGTAAAAATACACTTTGGTTTAGAGTAAGTGTCTATTTAGTCTTAAAGTTTTAAAATAAATACTTTTGGTTCTTTTAAGTATGGATTTGATGTCTATGTGATCCTAAAGTTTAAAAATAGACATTTTTAATCCTTGAAATTTAAAAAATATTTTTAAATGATCTCTAATTTAAATAATGTTAAAAATGATGTGACATTTTAATGGTCGATTAAGTAAAAATGTATTAATTTAATAATATATTTATGGGTTATTGGACTTTACTTTTTTGTTTTTCTTTCTTTATTTTTTTTTATTTTTTATTTTGAAATTATATCCCCTTACACCTTGTTCTTCCTCCCCTTCTCCAGCACCTTCCTCTTCCTCCCTCCTCCCGTGAATCTCACCATTGGGGCCCACCAACTTTCGACGACCTTCGCCGACCACAAAGATCGTAAGCTCCAATCATTCATAAATGGCTAGGGCATTAACCTTCGTCACCATCGGGCATAAGCTCCGCGCTCTAGGGATAAGATCAGCGCCTGAGTCCCAAATTCCCTTCCCCATCAGCCTTAACTGACAGATAAAGCTGCTGAGCCACCATATTTTGACACTCCTTCAAGCATATTTCCAGATCTTCACATAGTGGTTTAGAAAGAACCCTTCCAAACTCTCTTCAATATCCTGCTCCTATACAAATCCAGCAATTTCGACCCAGCAGCGCCCTTTGAAATCGCTTCAAGAACAGACCCACATCCAGACCGCTTTGTGGGCGTAAATCACCCCCTCCACCAGCCCTACCATGGTCGAGGCAAATATGCTAACAGAAGATCGTTGGAAGTTGACGGGCTGGTAGTGAGTTTTTCACCAGAGAAGAGGAGGAAGAAGAAGGATATAAAGGAGAGAACTTTTTCTAAAAAAAAAAAGAGAAGTACAATAACTCATAAATATATTATTAAATTAATATATTTTACTTAGTCAGCAATTAAAATTCCACGTCATTTTAATATTAGTCAAATTAGGGATCATTTAGAATTATTTCTTACACTTCAATGACTAAAAAGGTATATTTTGAAACTTTAGGACCACATAGACACCAAATTCATACTTGAAGGACCAAAAGTGTTCAAACTCCAACGACCAAATAGAGACCTACTCCAAACCGACCAAAAGTATATTTTTCCATTTTTTTATAATATTAATATTGATTTTTATTTTTTGAAACAACATGATTTTTAAGCTTAAAATGAATTTTGTTTGTTTTCTAAATTGCCTTCGATAAATGTTATTATATTATATTTATTATTATATTAGAATGGAGGGTCATTTAATATTTACCTTAATAATTAAATGATAATATTTTAACAAATATAGTGACTAATCAATGCATTTATTTTTGTTTAATTTTTCGATGGGTTCTTTTTCCTTTAATGACATTTCAACAAAGGAGGCAAATCAAGTAGCTGTCGTTTAAAAACTCCATTTTAAAAATTGGTCAAATTATATTTGTTAATGGTCTATTGCAATTTCTCTAATTATTTTTTACATTTTCTTTTGACCTTTTTACTCTCTCAAGTCAACCTCATCATCGGACTCAAAGTTCAAAGGTCGGTCCAAGTCCAGCCCAGGCCCAAGTCCAGCTCAAGGTCAACGTTTGACCGATCCGGTCCAGTCCAACCAATCCATAAATTAGATTGGATATGGATCTTTGTTTTTTAAATTGGGCCGGCCCGTTTGGGTCATATTTGGATCGGCCCATTGGACCGGCCCAAAGGTCCGATCCAATATTTATTAATATTTATATTATATAATATTAATATATTATTTATTATTTATTTATTATAAAAAAATAAATAACACATATGCTAGGCTGACATGCAACAACAACTTGGTTTCCACCCTATTAAGTAGAAACATATTACTAACAAACTCTCCAACTTGGCAATATCGTCTAATTTAAATATTTGTTTTGAAACAACTTATGAATAAACTCTCCAGCTTCCAATGTCTTATTTAAATCTTTGTTTTGAAAAGTACAAAAGATGTGAAAGTTTCAAACTCCATAATATTTTAAAATTTAAAATTTAAAATTATTTTAAACATATCTAATATTTAAGTTGTAATTTTTTAAATTTTTTAATACAAAATTTTGTTATAAATATTAACATTCTCCCCTTTTTCTACACTCAAATTCTACTTCTCAATCTCAATTTCTTTCTAATTCTCAATCTCAAATTCTCTCAAGTTCTAATTCGAAGTGTTTAAGTTTTCAATTTTGCTTGTATTTAAYCTCTATTCATCTCAAATTATTTCTGTTTCAAGTTAAAAAAAAATAACAAAAATATGTACCAAAAATTATATAAAAATACATACTCTAGAATTTAAAAAAAAAACTTAGTTTGGAAATTATTTAAATTTTAAAATTTAATAATTAAAACTATATTAATATACGGGCCGATCCAAGCCCGATTCAAAGGGCCGATCCAAGCTTAATCCAATTTTGGCTCATCAACTTAGGCCCATGGATTGGGTTATGAGCCTAGGTTTGAGTGGTTGGGCCGGGTTTGGGCTTGGGCTAAGCTTGGGCCATTACTTTTTTGGGCTGGGTCGGTCCGATCCGGTCCAATGATGAGGTTGACTCTCAAGTGAGGGAAATTGACACAAACGACCTAAAAAAGTTTTCACTTTGCTTAGATGACCTAACATTTCAAAAAAAAAAAAAAAAATCTAATCTAAATCAATATTTTATTCCATTAAAAGAACCGTAAAATTACAATGATGTCTCTCCTTCCTTTTCTCCGTTCCCTCCCCATTTATTCTCTTCCATTTTCAAACTTCTCTTCTTTCTCTTTTCCAATTCCATTTTTTTGATATAATATTATTACTCACTTTCATTTTGTAAAAGTAATTTTAGCAATAACTTTGATTCGAACTATTATGCCCTTTCACATTTTCTTTATTTATTTTTACTCTTGTTTTTCAATTTTCTCTCTCTTCTTCTATTTTTCGATTTCGATTTTTGTCACTTTCTTCCGACTCGAATGGGGATTGAAATACAACTCTAATCTGGAATGATTTTTTTTTTAATTTTGAGTCCGTTTAAATTAGAATGGACATAAATCTCGAACTTGTATCCATATTGCATAAATCTCAGCCTCTTATTTTTTTTTTTCAATTTGGGTTATGACCATTCATATCAAGCTTCAATCTCACCCCGAGATGGTAAAATCTTGACCGAAATTCATAAATCTCGCTCGAGCCTCGTGCAAATTCACCTAGGATTCAGGCAAAAGCTCGAGTTCGAAGAAACCTCGCCCGAGTTATAAAATTGCGGATTTATGAGCAAGTTTGAATAATTTGCTAGATAAAGTTAAATTGATATTAAATTATGTGCAATTTGTTTAAATTGATCGTTCTTGGTTAATTGGATATGTGTGCGACCCAACATCTTCAATACGAGTTTTGGTCGTTTTCCAATTTTTATCCTATTTCTAATTTTTAGGAAAAAACCTAACAATTTTCATCCCACAAGAATGGAACTCAAGAACTCAATTATAAGTGGGTAAACCTAGATCCAGTGGGCCAAATAACAGTTTTTTGGTTGTTTGAGATTTTGAAATAAAAATAAATGATGGAGCGCAAGTGTACACCCATCACAAGTAGTAAAATGGGACGAGTATTCCGAGTATCGATCCTTAGGGATAAATGAAGTCTCTTTAATGAAAATGATGTTGATTGGTGACTTTGTAATTGATTTTTGGGTAACAAATAATAAAGATAATGTTGGTTTTGATATTTAAATACTCAATGCAATAAACCCAGCCCAATTATTTCAAATTAGCTAAGAATACAACAATTTTTTCCAACTAGGCATCAGACGCCTCTCATAAATTTTCTTCAGTTTTACTTCGTCATATTCTTATGTCTAAGTGATTTTGAAGGTATAAGTCCATTCCTAATTTGTCTATTAGAAAAAAAATCTTAATTTAATAAAAACCAACCGTAACCTTAGGTCAAGATCCTATGTCTAGGCTACCCGAGCGAAATCTTTATGTCTAAAGTATTTCTCTCCAAAGCTAAATCATTAAATAGGCCATATAGCCTAACCCTAAGGTAAGCCAAATTCGACTGTTGAATTCTATTACTCTACTGCTCCCCCTTGCTAACTTAGGCATCAAAGCCCGTGTGACAAATGTCACACCGGTCTAGCTTTGTTCGATTTTTCAAGCGTTCGAGTCCCTAATAATCAAGCTTGGTGTGAACTTGGGGAGAGCATAATCCACGCATCAACAATTAGCGTCGTCTATGGGAACGACTAAGATTTAAATTCAACAATATGAACTCTGGAGAGATCAATACGTTCCGACAATGATTGTCATTCCAGGAGTATGGTAAACTGAGAGTTATTCTTGCTCAGGATGGTTGAAGGTGATGAATTATTAAATAAAAATTAAGCGTGTTGTTTATTCTACTATGATGTTCATTCCTATGTTTTATACTTGAGAAAATTATTTGTTTGATGCCCAAATAAAACCTCCTCAAGTGGGAGCATGGGTAAGCTAATGAACAGCTGGTCAATGAACTCGAACTAGGACAGACTCAGAAAGTAGGCATTCCAAACCAGTCAACGAAACCCAGGGTATAAAACTATTTGGCAAAAACCAAAATACGTTAGAAAACCAAGGGTATTGATTAAACTCAGAGTAAAAAACTGGCAGAAGCCAAATAGGTTAGAACCCCAAGGGTGCCAACTAAACTCAGGGTATAAAACCATTGGCGAAAGCCAAATAGGTTAGAAACCCAAGAGTAAACTCTATGGTATAAAACCATGGGCCAAAGCCAAATAG